AAAAAAACCATGTCACACACAAAAATCATTGTTTAACTTTTTTGAATATTTACTTTTAAATTAAGAAATTGAGTAAGGTATAATACTAAAATTTGAATTATAATCTACAGTTTGATATCAAACTTATTGACAGAAATTCATGAAATAGTAGTTCAATAAATTTTGAATGCGAGTCAACAAACACGATGACATGGCTTTTTACCCGTAAACCATCCAGAAAGGGTTAAGGGGATATTTATAGAACTCAAGACATCCTACTTCACCCCAACTCACTGTATGAGCATTTAATCAACTCCATCACATGCTAGGGTCAAGTCAATTAACAGATCTAAGGCCATGAAGTATGATACCATGCATACACATACACCTGCCAGGCTCAGCCCCACTGAAACTATGAAGTAGACCGCTATATAATGTATTGTTTTGATAATTAAGAAATTGGTGTTTTTAAATTCAGACATCAATAATACACAGATCTGTCAGTTGCATAGATACTTGATCTCTTTGATACCTTGAATATTAATTTAGATTATTCTTTATTTACTTAATTTTTACAGAAATTGTTTTGGCAGATATCATATTTGTGAAATGAAAAGTCACAAATGGTCATAATGTAAGAACTATTTGTACTGCCATCTAGCGACCAGAAACATGGTAAAAATATACAGTTATAAACTGAACTCACTGCTAAGTATTAGTTTTCCTTTTTATTATTCCCCCATAAAAATACGTATGGTAGAAGAACAGAATAATATTACTGTTATACAAACTATAATGGCAATTAGGTGCTCAAATAAGGCAATAACTCAACTTTAGCAGTTGCTTGTAAGCATCATAGAGTAAGAGATAGTATGTGGTGGCCATTATTTTCTCGGGCCCATCTCTACATACCAGGCACTACCATGTTTAGTGATAGTCTGTTCCAAAGTACTTTTAAAATGATTTTTTGTCATACTAAAGCTGTTATGAAAGGTTCACTCATTTTTTGGCTAGTGAAAGAGAAGAAAAAGATGAACACTTTGGCTCTTTAGCTAGTTCCTAGTTCTCCACTTTAGCAACACTTTTCAATGATTATGGGAGCCTCTATAATGGCAATTAGGTGCTCCAACAAGGTTATACCTCAACTTATGCATTAGTGTTATAGATTGAATGGGGCATCCATCTTTTTCTTGGCCTATCCCTACATACTAAGCACTACCATGCTAAGTGATATAAATATTTATGCAAAGAGAGAAATAAAATATTATAAAATTACCATCAAATTGCTGGTACAGAGATGTAACCAAATAATTGCAGCTTATTAACCCATTCACCACAGCTGGGACGTATATTTCCCAGTGCTCCCACCCCCTCACACTGCAATGGAACAAACGTTTGCCACTATCAACGTTGTTTACGCCTTCCTCTGCTGGGTCCAGGTTTGTCATCTTGACTATCATCACTAGATGGAGAGCTAGCATCCTCTTGTCTCATTGCCTCTTCATCATCACACATTTGAACACCACTTGATTCCCTTTCACTGTCTTCTAAACTATCTGAGTCAAGTGCATCAAGCATATTTACATAGAAATCAGGGTTACTACTTACTGCTCTATCAATATGGGCACAGTCAGCATGCAGTCGCCATACATTCTGCTTAGGTATCTTGTTGGTTACTGAAGGGCTGAGTGGAAAACAGTGAGGGAAACCATATATTAACATTAGGTGGGATGCCTATAAATACTTTCCAACTCATTTTACTCCCATACCTCCCATGTGGCAATTTGGAATGACAATGGGAAACATTTGTCCCAGTTGCAGTGTGAGGGGGTGGGAGCATTGGGAAATACCCATCCCAGCCACAGTGAAAGTGTTAATCTTCAACTTATATTCCTAGAAATATGCAAAAGGTAAAATAAAAACAGCTATTTATAGATCTAAGCAAAAGTAACTAAGGGTAATCACTTAATGAAACTACTATTAGTTACTGTTCATAACAATAACTACTGGAAAAAGCATGTTACTATAATTACACTGATAGCCACATTTAAATGGACACCTTAAGCACTAGTTAAAAATGTATAACATTGTATTTCACTGATTCAGAAACCATAATAGATTTGTATAACATTAAATAATAATCTTGCTGACTATCTGTACTTTACTTTCAGTCACAAGAAGACAATGTTAAAATGCAGCATCTTTAATATGTGTACTGACTGCTTGTACTGTCAAAATAACATATAGGAACATGTATAACATTACACATGCACCACACTCAGTACATGCACTGACTTCACTGTCAAAATAACATGTAGATACAAATATATAACAGTACACATAACGCACACTTAGTACACACAATGAATGACTGTATTATCATCAAAATCCTGTGTTTTTGTGTCAACTTACGTATAAATGTCAAAGTCACTAATGTTGATTGCCTCAAGGAGCTGTTCAGTAATTTTGATGACTTCAGCTTTTCGTGCTGGAATCATAAAATAAATTTCTTCAGTTACAACAGTCTTCTTCTTCATTGGTTTCAGAAATATAAAAATGTATGTTCCTACAAAATCAAACATGGAAGCAAGCTTAATCTACATTAAATTCTTACAAACACCTTCAACATGGTTTTCATGGCAACTATATATATATCCTAGACACTTTTATAACTACTTTAAACATTACTCATTTGTTAGCTAGTCATTTCCTCTGCAGGAATAAAAGTAAAACATATGTATAGTATTAATAGAAGTAAAACTTTTATTTAAAATTCATTTCTTCCTTGTCAGTGGTTCCCTCTGGTAAGGAAATTAGTAATAGTCCACCTGTAAATACAGAAATTAATTATTAAGGTCATAAAGATTGTAAAGAAGGTACCTCACTATATGTGATAATTTCTTAGTAAGATAATCTTGATAAAGCAGGATTATAGCTTAGAATTATAATTTTCACTATTACATTTCCAAATGATCAGCTGCTCCACATACTCATAATACTTAGTGAAGATGTTATTATGTAACACACAGTCAAAAATTCTTCATACTTGAGCCACTCCAGTATTTAGAGATTAAGTGACCCACTAAAACTTCTAAGAGTGAAATGGCTCATTTAAGCCTCAAACATCACACTAATCAGTTTATATATACAAGCAGTGGATGAATAAGGGCAAATGCACTTTTCCATGTGTTCATCCTATGGACAAGTACATTATTCATTGGTTAAAACTAATTCATTGAAGTAGTAATTACAGCACTAAAAATAAATTGCCCAACTTCAATAAATATGTTATTTTATTTTTACTTATTATTTAACTATCACTGTTCTTGCTATATCAGTATTCATGTGTTTCAGCATTGTTGAACCTATTTCTTTCACCATATAAATAGAATGGAGCAGTAATTATGGCCACGATACTGAAAAATTTTACTTTTTCAAGCAAATTTAACTTGACATTTTGTAAAAGTAATGGTTAGTTTACCTATAATATAATTACAAAGTATATGTACAGGAGTATTTTCCTTAGAATTGCATCTCAGCACTGTTTGACAGCCTAGGGCACATTTTGAACATTTCACCCTCTCATTCTCCCAGATTTTAATATTCTGACCTCTTATGGTTTCTTTATGTAATCTCACTGGGAATGAGAAGCCAAAACATCAATCATTTACTGGTTTTCTGTGTATGAAGCATATGTCATTCAAAGTGATGACAACCATTTGTTGGAGCAAAGTTAAAGGACCAATAATATAAATAGGCCATTCATTTATTGATTAATTATTTGTCAGGATGTTAAAAAACAGATGTTTATTATGACGTTGGGAGATAATATCGTTTTAAAATACCTTGTAGTACAAGAAAATGTGTGCAGGATCAGAAAAAAAATTCATGTCACTTGCCCCACAAGATGAGGACATTCTAAAATTTTCAGCTTTTATTCATTAAGTAACCAGAATAGCTTTTAATGGATAAATGACCTACAGTACTTCTTAGTGGTTTCATAACCTTTAAAGGCTTTGGTGATTAAGAAACCAATTGTAGGTTGTCCTTTAATAACCACCCATTATAGCTTTAGCAGTTAAAGACCCATTACAATACAGATTTTAGTGATAAAGTGACCCACAATTTCTTTAGTGATTAGATGACTCACTCAAGCTTTTAGTGGTTAAGTGATTTACCAGAACTTTAAGCCATTACGTGACTCATTATCGATTTTACTAACTGTGTGACCCGCCACAGTTATCAATAATTTAGTGAATTAAAAATTACTTTTAATAGTTTAATATAACAGAAAGCAGAGTACTCTCAGAGATTCAATACAAGTAAAATTAAGTAAATGCAAGGATAGAGCTTTGAACAGTCTTACTGTAACAACTAACTCATTAATAAGAAATGAAAATAAACTTAAGCCTATAATGGAATTATAACTGTTCCTAGCCATCATTTCAAAGTCAATGCATGTCAGCAAAAATCATTTTATGTTGAATATAGCCAATGAATATTGAATTGTCCTTAATTCCAACAGTCTGTATGTGCAAAATTTTATGTATGAAAATTATACAGTACACTGAAATGTATCAGCCCCATTAGTGACACTCATCTGCAATAATCCACCTTCATAGTAGTGTGATATTTGATACACTGAATTTTTATTCACAAGTTCAAGCAGAGCCTATCATTTAATGCTTCTCCAATAATCATCAAATACGTGAATCTATCTGTCAGAATTCATGGTTTCAGCTTAGCATAACAACAATAAAAAAAAAGCTCCAGATTCAAGAATAAGGTTAACAGTAGAAGTTTCCCTGACCTGATGTGCTTTTGGACAAGTTAAAATCTAGCTAAGAATCAGATATCATAACCTATTGTGTATAAGTGCATTTCAAACAAATCATATATAAAAGAAGTAGATGAGCCAAGAAAAACTAGTTTGGGTGCCACCCCATGCTAATGAAGAACTTATAAAAGGAAAATCAGCTGGCTTAACCACTATGGTAGAGACTGTCAGTGTAAAGTTTAAACTGCTAAAAGACTACTTTCACTTTTACTATACTTGAAATGTTCTACACTAAAATATGATTTATTAAAGAAAAATATTTGAAGACATGTAACAATAAATTACAAGTTTCACTAAGAAACTCAGCCCATACAATAGTTTCATAGCTGTTTTAACTTGCTAAAGAATAACAAATACAGATTATTCAAACTATTGATGTATGTGACTACCTATTTTATGGAAATAAAAAAAAATACATGATTTGAACAGAAATTCTTTATAGCTTTGGCACTGTAGGTTGAAAGAAGTTGAAAGACATTTGAAGAAACATTTAAATAGAATTGACAAAATGAAAAAAAAAATAGAAACATGCTAAGAACAAAAACCTTTAGAGATGTTACAAACATAGAACATATATATGAAATGAAAAAACAGAGTAAATGAATTACTAACTGCACACACCCACAAGTTTATTTCATTATACAAAATAAAAAGCATTATAGAAATAAATAATATGATCTGACCTTTGGTTTTGAACCTAAATAGTAGTGTCTAACACATTATTCATTTTCTCAACACATTCATGCAAAACTGTCTCAAGCATAATACTCACGATCTGATGTATTGCCATTACTGATCCTTATTGCTACAGTGACAGAAAAGACAAGCAACTTTAAAAAAAAAGACAGCAAGAGAAACATTTTGCATGTAATAAATATGTTGTTACAAGAGTTAATATTAGCCCCACAATATTTCTAAAGTCTTGTAAAAATACAGTGACTATACACCAAAAATTCCATAATAACTACAAAAAGTTTAAGATTTATTAGACTACATTCACACTAACTGGTCACATAATAAATTTTCTACTAAAACAAAGAGAATCGTTTTGCTTCATATAACATTTAGTCAGCCTAATAATATTGCTTAAAATATGACCAACATTTTTTCAAATGTGAAAAGTAATTAAAAATCTTACATTTGTTACTGAATTCCACTGATTTAATTCACAGACTAAAGTATAACGATATTGCCAATATATTTATTTAATGGAGTAGAAAACAATGTTTTTAAAAGTTTTAATGTAAAATAAAATTAATAAACACATGCTTTTATTGTTTAATCATATATGTTGACAACATTTTTTATTTTTACTTTAAATCTAATACAAATGATAGAAAATTCCACTATTAACCATAAAAATACAAGACTGCCCATTATCACACAACTACACATTTTGAATATTTATGTAAATGAAATACTAAAAGATGTTTGATTATTTTAAGCACAGAATATTTTAGGGATACAATAAAAAGAACAAAATTGCATCTAATAAAATGCAATTAAGTTAAGAAAAATATGTACTTTGCTTCCTAACAGATTTTACTACAAGCTAGGGTTCAAAAAGTAAAAGTTTTTTTATGCCATTATCATGATCTTTTCATCTGCCTCTAAGTGGTAGATGAGTATGACTGGTCAATCATGTCCAACTCTCCTATCTCATACTAAAGAAGACTGAGTATCACAACCATCTCACTGCTAATAGCTAAGAATGATTTTGGATATTCTTGATCATTTTACTTTCTTCCTGCTGGTAGTTGTGTCTATGCTCAATTATAATTTTCTCATCTACTGCTTGCTAATAGCCATGGTCAATTAATATTTGCTAAAATACTTCCTGCATGTTGTTCTTTATGATTATGGGCAATCATAACTTGCTCTTGCAAACAGGTAACAATGAGTATGGCCAACCATGACTTTCTCTCATTTACATGTTCCTCTAATTGTTATGTACAGAGGATTGTTCACAATCTGTGGTAATTACTTGCATATTCAATCACTTTGCAACTGGCATATAACTACACAAGTTAAAAGCCCTGACCTTCTTGCAATTTAGTCGAAGTATGGTGATTTGCAAGCACAGATAGTGCCTAAAGTTTATTACATTTATTTGTGTAAAGTTTTCTGACATAATGTTTTCCTATTCTACAATTATAAAAGCAAACAAGGCATCAAACTTTACCATTCTGAAGAAAGGGATATCTGTATTATATGAACCATACTGATAAAGCAATATTTCAGCAAAAAAAAAACCAGGCTACTGGTTACCAGTTACACCCTGGACATAGTGAAGAAAGTTAAACAGCTTTTCACTGAAAATTACCCTAACACATAACAGTCCATTGGAGCTAAAGTACAAGTTGCCTTGAAATGACAAACAAGATAATTCACATTGATGTAGACCAGGGGTCACCAAACTACGGCCCATGGGCCGAATCCAGCC